CTCTGTCATGGTGCTACCTGGTAGCCCATTGGTGAGAATTGTCTTCTTAATGTGCTTCAATCCATATTGAAGATTATATTCCTTGACCTTCTACAGCAAGCCCTTCAGGTTCTTCTCAGTTTCAGCAAGCAAGGTTGTAGCCTGTGCATATTGCAGATTGTTGATGAATCTTCATCCAATCCTGATGCTACATTCCTCCTCATACAGCCCAGCTTCCCAAATTATCTGTCCTGCATATAGATTGAAAAGGTATGGAGACAGGATGTATCCCTAATGTACTCCTTTTCTGATTTTGAACCATGCAGTGTCTCCTTGCTCTGTTCTGAGGATTGCTTCCTGGTACATGTATAGGTTTCACATGAGCACAATCCTGTATTCTGGGATTCCCATTCTCCGGAAGATTAGCCACAGTTTGTTGTGATCTACACAGTCACATGCTTTGGCATAGTCAATGAAACACAGATATTCCTCTGGTACTCATTGTTTTTGGCCAAGATTATTTGGCGTTGGTGATAATGTCTCTAGTATTAATGTCTCTGATATTAGGATTATTCTGATTATATAAATGCTTATTATTACACTAATGAGAACACTTTGGAGAAATATGGAAAGGTAGTTTAGTAGTCCATTGTTGTTTTTGTTATGTGCTGTCGAGTTGCCTGTGACTCATAGCAACCCTATGAACAGCCCTAAACCTGCTCTATCTTGTGCCAGTCTTACTGTCTCTGACACACCTACCCTCATTACCCTCGTCACTGATCCAATCCATCTCATTGAGGGTCTTCCTCTCTGACCTTCAAATGAATTATGATGCATAGTGACCCTATGAACAACAGATCTGAACCTTGGGCTATCCTGCCCCGATCCTCACTTTCTCAGATATACTAGAGCCCATTGCTATAGTCACTGTGTTAATCTATTTTATTGTGGGTCTTGCTGTTTTTTATGACTCTCCACCTTTCCCAGTCTTTCTCTCCCCTAACAACATGCCCAAAGTATGTGAGACAGAATTTAACCATCTTTGCCTTCAAGGAACAGCATCCTGACTGCCATTCATCAGAGATAAACTTGTTCTTTTGGCAACACATAGGCTATTCAATACTTTTCTCCAACAAAGACCTTGTTCCTTCTTTAGTCTTCCTTATTCATTGTCCAACTTTCAGATGCATAGAAAAATAACCATGGTGCAGTTTGATCTTTACACTGACATTGTTGCTTTTTAGAACTGTGGAGAGGTTCTTGATAACAGATTTCCCCAGTGCAACTTGTCTTTTGATTTCTTTCTTTTCTCTTTTTTGGTCTTTTGATTTCTTGACTGCTCCTACCACAGGTATGATTGTGGATCCAAGTAAGATTAAATCTTTGACAACTTCAGTCTTTTCTCCATCTGTCAAGATGTTGCCTGTTGATCCAATGGTGAGAATTTTTGTTTCCTTGATGTTGACATGCAATCCATGTTGAAATCTGTAGTCTTTGATCATCAAGCAAGGTTGCGTTATTTGCATAATGCAGGTTGTTGGTGAGTTTTCCTTCATTCCTGAGGCCACATTCTTTTTCATATAATTGAACTTTTCTAATTATTTGCTCAATATGCAGAATGAATAGGTACAGAGAAAGACCACAATCTTGACATTACCTTTTCTGATTTTAAGACTGTACAGTTCCCTTGTTCTATTTGGACAACTGGTCTGTGTATACGTTTTGCATGAATACAATTAATTAGTTTTGAGATTTCCATTTTCTCAGTGTTAGCCATAATTTTTTATTATCCGTACAGTCAAATACTTTTGCATAGTCAGTAAAATAAACATTTTTATGGTATTCTGTCCTTTAGCCAAGATCCATCTGACGTGAGCAATAGTGACATAGGCATTATGCCATGGCCTTGTCTGAATCCAACTTGAATTTTTTGCTGTTCTCTGCTGATGTGTAGTTCTAGTATGGGTTATATATGATTGCTAGATAATTTCAATGTTCTATTGCATTACCTTTTTTGGGAATGAAAACAGATATGGATTTCTTCCAGTTAGTTGACCAGGTAGCAGTCTCCCAAATTTCTTGATATCTGTTTGTTAAAACTTGTAAGTTAGTATTCCATCAATTCCTGGGCCCTTATTTTTTTATGATTTCCTTTACTGCACCTTGAACTTCTTCCTTCATTACCACTGGTTCTTGATCATACACTACTTCCTGAAATTGTCAGTCATTTCGTTTGGTACAGTACTGTATGTTATTTCCATCTTTTCATGGTTCCTACATCGTTCAATAGTTTGCCCACAGAATTTTTCAGTTTTATAACTCCAGACTTAAATTTGTTTTAAGTTCATTTAGCCCAAGAAATGTTAAATTGCTCTTCTTTTGATTTTCTTTCCCCCCCTTTTTTAAATTATTACTAATTTTAATGAAAGTTTACAGAGACTGTGGATTTCCATTTGTTCATTGTAGCACTTTTCTCCCTGACCAGCCCTCCCCCCTCCCCCCAGTTGCTCTTCTCTTTGAAAAGTAAAAGAAAAGTTATTTCACTGAAAAATTATTATACAGTCCCTCCCCACAAGTCTATCCACTGTGTAGCCTTGGTTCTGGACTCCTGTCATGACAATAATACCTAATGTATCCCTTTTAAACAGTTCTCTCCCTCATCTATTTCAATGCATAATTTATCCCAGCTTTCTCAGTCTCCTCCCAACCCCCATGTAAGTCCCGTTTTACAACAGTAGCACTAGCAGTATTTGTCCTTTTGTGACTGAGATATTTCATTCAGCACAATGTCCTCCAGCATCACCCATTTTGTATATTTCATGACTTCCTTGTTTTTCAATGCAGCACAGTATTCCATTGTGTGAATATACCACAGCTTCTCTATCCACTGATGGGCACTTAGGTTGTTTCCAACTCTTTGCTATTGTGAACAAAGCTGTGATAAACATGAGTGTGCATGTATCTTCTTGGGTGGTGGTTATGGTTTCTTTGGGGTTCTTCTCTTGATTTTCTAGCTCCAGCTCTTTACACATTTCATCTTAATATTTTGCTTTGTCTTCTTGAGCTGTCCTTTGAAATCTGTTAATCTCTTTCACATCAACATTTCTTCCCTTTGTTTTGGCCTCTACATTCTAGTACAATTTTTAGTCTTTTCTGATACCCATTTTGGCTTTTTTCCCCTTGTCTTTGTATTGACCATTTACTTTCTTCTTGTATGATGTCCTTGATGTCGTTCCATAACTTGTTTGGTCTTCAATCATTAGTGTTAAGTTCATCAGATCTTTTCTTGAGAATGTTCAGGTGACATTGACTCATGCTCCTATTTCAATTCTGTGACAGTCTGAATCTGTAGTTCATAAGGTGAGGTCCATAAGTATAGTCACCATGTGTGTTTTCATATATATATATAAATATAAATTTCAGTGAAAATTTACAGAGACTTTGGATTTCCATTCATTCATTGTTGCACTTTTCTCCCCTCCTAATCCTCCCCCCTAGTACACTACCCTCTTGGAAAAGTAACATGGGTTTGCATATACCTGATTGGATGTCAGTTATGGTCTCTTTGGGGTATATTCCCAGTAGTGGAATTGCTGGATCAAATGGTATCTCTATTTGCAACTTTTTGAGAAAGCGCCATACCGCCTTCCACAGTGATTGCACCAAAAGATACTTTCAATGAGTAAATCATTGTGCAAAATTCAGTCATTTCATCTCCAACATCAAACCAATACCATAAAAATAGATTTTTCCTGAGAGAGAAAAGAATTAAGAATTTTGGATGCTTTAGGAAAACATTGGCCACAGCCACCAGCTTGGTACAGATACAGCAGTGTAGTCACAGCGAGCTCTTGGAAGCCTGAGTCATGCCCAGCACCTGGAGTTTAAAATCCCCTTGGACAGGAGGATTCAGGTAGGGAGCTTGCATGTGCTTGCTCAGGTGTGGTGAACCGCATCTGAAATGCAGGTGGAAACTGCATATATGCTGGGGTTCCTATGGCCCATCACCTTCACAAGCTGGTCTCATAGAGCTGTGTGCACACAGGTGCAGTGTGATTTCCAGTCATCTGACTTGGGAAGCAGATTCTCCTTGCAACCTGTGTCATGTACCTTCTGGAGCCGGGAGCTTGGTGGCTGGGCCCTCAACTTGAGAGGCAGACTTGGGGAAGGGGTTGGAACTCCCTTCATGCAAGTTATTGTTGCGTAGATTTCAAGTTATGGTGATCCCAGATCTCTCCTGTGGGTTTGTGTCCTCAAGTCAACTCCAGCTCACAGCTGCCTCACGCTGGACCTGCCCACTAGGATTTTCTAGGCTCTGAGTCGTGGTAGGAGCAGATCTACCTCGTGGCTTCATTACCAAGAGATGTGGGTAACTTTAACCTTTGTGGGATGTCCAGTGCTTAGCCAGGGCACCACTTTAGCTCCTTGTGGGTTATGCCTTTATTGGCTCTGTGACCTCAGATAACCTGCATGACCTGTTGTGGCTCCGTTTTTTCACCTCTTAATTTCCCCAGTAAGGTTTTCCTAAGGGTTGAATTGATTAAGGTGCTGTGGTGGCACAGAGGTTAAGAAACTTGCCCACCAAAAGGTGAGTGGTTTGAACTTACTGGACACTCCTGTGAGAAATGATGAGGTAGTCTGCTCCATAAAGATTGATGGTCTTGGAAATCTTATGGACACGTCTGTCTGTCCTACAGGGGTACTAGGAGTTAGCATTGGCTCTAGGACAATGGATTAAAGTTTGAATGAGCGACATGTAAGAAGAAGGCTCCAGCCTTTGGTTAAGTCTGGTGATTCTTGTTCAGACCAGAAGCGTTGTTAGTGTCTGGTTCCTGTTGGTCTGTAGTGATCCAAAGAGAAAGGCAGTTGGAATAAGTGAACGTGCTGACCAGCCAGGTAATAACTCTGCTGCCTTGAGCAGGTCACCTCCATTGTGCTGGGCCTGGGAGCCATCCCTGGTGGGGACCAGGAGGTGCCATGTGGAGGCCTCTGACCTAGTTCTCTTTGCTGTTTGTGCTCAGGTGGCAGTGCCGCGGATAGCTCTGCAGGAGGCGAGGCTAGGCGCGAGGCAGGGGAGGACAAAGAGGGATTCCTTTCCAAACTTAAGAAAATGCTTACCTCCTGATAGTCCAGCTGAGGTAGGAACCACTTTCAGGTTTTGTTCTGTTTTCTCCTTTTTGTCCCTGTGAAAAGTTTCTTGTGGCCTCACCTAACCAGCACCAGCCCATCTGGCAGCAGGATGTGGTGTGGTGGCACAGCCAAGCACCCAGGGCCAGACAGTTTGTCTGTGACATGCATGCACCTGGGAAGTGAGTCTGGCTGGCCCAGGGTAAGCCAGGCTCCGCCACTAACTGGACATAACCCATTTTGGCAGCTTTACAGCTCACGGCCCTACCTCTGAAGATCACATCCCCCTCAGTGATGGAGTCAGGCCTAGAACTCAGACCCCTCAACTTCCCAGTGTCCAAGCCAGCTGTCCAGGAATTGTTGGCTTAGTATTGTGTGCAGCATAGGACAAAATTGAGACCTGTTGTTTTTAGGGTTGCTCTGAGTCGTATATCAGCTCAGTGGTACCTGTCAACAACTTCACATACTGCTTGGCCTTGATGGACAGAGGGTGGTGCTCGGAAGAGCTGGGTTAGGCACCCAGACTCCAGGTGAGGTCAGGGCAGGCCATCTGTTCACTGTGGTGGCTAAGACACCCTCAGTCCTGCCTGTCCCTAGTCAGGGTTCTGGACTCTGGTGTGCACCTGCCATGATGCCAAATGAGATGTACCCTCTCTCCTCTGCCCAGGGAAATGGTCCACTGGAAGCTAGCATGGAAGTGGCAGCTGTTCCTGGGCCCACCAGCAGAGGCCAGCACTGTGTGCCCCCATCACAAAGGCCCGCACCATGCCCCCGCCGCAGAGACTTGGGCACCTCAGCCACAGCAAGACCATCACCTCTCCTTGAATGGGGTCCCTGTGACAGCCCCACCAGGCAGTAAGATGTAGAGACTTGTCCTGTCTGCAGGCAGCAGCTCGGGCAGAGGAAGAGACATACACTGGAGACCGAGCCATAGCTCTGGGATTGGTGTGGTGGAGAGCTTGGTAATGGAATTAAAGGCTATGTCCACAGCTTAGAGATGTTCCCTGTGCTGCCCCAAATCATGAGTTGATTGGTCTTTCTCACAGCAAATCCCAAGAGTCCCAGGAGAAATCTCCCTGGTCAGGTGGCTCTGCCACGCCTGGAGCCCTGCTCCCCTCCCCTGTCACTGAGCTCGAAAGCAGGGCCTGGGGTACTGGGGAGCTAGCTTCCTGCCCACCTGGCTAGTGATCTTTCAGGACAATGTCATTCCTCCTGTTCCATCAGCTGCCATCACTGCCTCTGGGCAGAATCTGGGGCAGCCTGCCAACTGTTCCATCATAGCCCACCACTGAGATTTAGTCAGGAGTGTCTCAGCTTGCCAGTGCCAAGATCTGTGAAAGGCTCCCCTGACGAGCCCACAGGCAGAACACCCCATCCCTCGGTGGGCATTAAGCTTCTGTACGTCTACATTCTTCAAGGTACAGCTAGACAGGTTATTGGAGAACAGTTCTTAGCCCTTTCTCTTCTGTTCCCTGCAATTGACGAAAAGAACATGTCTCCTGGTATCTGAATGTAGAGTATAATACAAATCTGTAATGTAAATAAGGTGATCTACTGCAAAAAGATATTTAAAACGGAAACTGCAGTCATTTTTTCCTTGAAACAGTTAGCTCGGCAGGTGGCTCAGCCTGAGGGTGGTTGATGTCCACCTGTCACTGAGCTGCCCCTTACCCACCTTGGCTTTGTCTCAGCCTGTGTTGGCACTCCCCACTGAGTGCATCCCCTGGTGTGAGGCGTGGGGCTCTCTAGTGCTCACTGCACTTGTTTAGCATTCTCTGGAGGCTGTGTTGGGGCATGTTCTCCTCGGGAGGCCTCTATATACTTCTTCCTAGACTCTGTCCCTCTCTTATTCTCAGAGCCTGCATTTTTTATGTTGCAAAGCTGGCTCGGTCATTGACTTTCCTGGGCTCTGGAAATTTCTCACAGCAACCCCAGTGCCTGGCCCAATCAGAGTGGGTCCTGTACACAGCTGAGCCCTACTGGATGGGTTCATGGGCTGAGCTGGGCAGAGAAGAGATTGAATAGGAGAGTCCATGTGCAAAAGGAAGCTCACGTGTCTCTCCTGCTCCTTTCAGCCACAGGTGGTTCTGAGTGTGTCTTCAGGAGCTTGTAAGTATGTCAGAACAGATGGTTTTTTCTTAGCCTTCATTCACTGCAAGAACAAAGGGCGCTGCAGGACAGCGTAGAACTGCCCATAGGGTTTCCGCAGCTGTAAAGTGTTTGAACAGTTGACCTTTCAGCTAGCAGCTGTATACCTTGACCACAGTAGCACCAGAGCTCCCTAATCTTTTCTGAGCCCACTGTCATAGTCAGTTCTGACTCCTGGTGAGTGTTCATCTGATTCCTGAAGCTGTTATTACAGATCCAGACTCAGCGTTCTCCTTCAGAGCGGCTGGTAGATGGGAACGTCCAACCTTTCAGGTAGAAACCCAAGCTTAACCTATACCACCCATAACCAATCCCACTGCTGTGGAGTCGACGTGGATCCATAGCAACTCTCCATGGAGTCTGTGGAGCTGGAGATCTCCACAAGAAGAGCTGTTTGTGGATCCAAACCACTGACCTTTCAGTTAGTGGTGCAACACCAGAGTTCCTTACTACACGATTCTCTGGATAATGATTTCAAAATGAGAGCAGATTTACACATGAAAGGGCAAGCAGAAGTTGTCTGTATATCAGACATTTGTAATCTGAGTACTACCTGTAATTTTGTTTGCTCAAGAAATCTTTATTGAGTGCTGGTTAGGGTTACACAGTCTCCCTTGCTCATATTATCCTTGGATAAGTCAGCTGGATTTCACTTGTGTCTTACCTTTGGAAACAGAAGTAAGGGGAAGACTTGGAAAGAAAAGTGGATTTCCTTGCTGCTGAGATTCTTGGTATACTGGAGTGCCCTCACCACCACAGTCCTAGCATGAAGACCCACTTCAAGGCTGCTGCTTGTGTGCTGCAGACTGGGGACCAATCCATAGCTGACCCTGAAGCAGTTTTTCAGAGCCTGTAAATCATACTGGAGGAGACTGCTCATCCTGCAGAGCATTTTGGTGGATTCAAGCTGTGACCAAATCCCTTTGGTTTGGCAGTGCAGTTTCTTACCACTCATAGCTCTCTGGTAGCCTAGTGGTAAGTAGCTGCACTGCAATCCCAAAAGCACTCAGTTCAAATTCACCAGATACTCTGTAAGGGAAAGATGGATATTCTTTTCCCCTGGGAATAGGGTCAGCTATGTGTGGGTTCTGACTGAATGGCACACAACAAGCCACCAGAGCCCCCTTCCAGGCTCACCGCAGGGCAGATTCCCATTCTTCTCGATCGTCTCTGGGTTAGAGCTGAAGTATGACACAAGGTACTGAAAACCACAAGAAGCCCACACATTCTTTGTTTTATTGTGCTTTGTGAAGGTTGCATTTTTTTAAGAAATTGAAGGTTTACGACAATTAAGCAAGTCTGTCAGCACATTTTCCCAAGAGCTGTGCTCACTCTGTCTCGTTTTGTTAATGCTTACACATTTTCAGTAACTCTCATGATGCTGTTACATATTAATAGACTACATTCTAGTGCCAGCACGGCTTTTACATGTACTTGAACCACAGCAGGCATGGGACTCATTTGACTGCAGTACTGTCTCTGTGGCAGTGGCGTGGAAACACAAATGTAGGTTAGCTCCCAGGCATGCCTGTGCTGGGGTGCTCTTCCTGAACTTTCCAGAAGGTGGCAGGAAGTCCTGTCTCCACTGGCACTTGGAACTTCTTCAGGAATTTGGTTAGTTTCCTCCACTGCTGGCTCAGGCTAGCACCAGTCTTTGCAGCCGCCTCTGAATTGGAGCTGGAATGTGATACGAGGTATTGAGCAATACCAGGGCTTCTTGGGAGTAAATAGATGGGATAGATGGGAATTGAACTTCTGCTAAAATACTGAAAGGGGAGTCAGGGTGGATGGGACCACTCAGGAGCTAGACTTGTGCCAGAGAGCACTTGTGGCACTTGAGAGACCCTGTCATGAGACCCAGCACAGGGTGGGACATGTCTGTCTTTAACTCAGAGGGGTCTTGGCATCACACAGGACACAATTGCCTCTTTACCCTGAACCAAGGGCACCTAGAGCCCACCTGCCGAATTGGTCTTCCTGTTGTGTTGATAAAACAAGTGCCCCACATTGTTCATCGCCAACTTATTTTCTGTGCAGCCCTTGTGCTGATTGGCAGTTCCTTCACTGGCTCCCCCTCTGAACTAAGTGCCACAAGCCTTAACTCCCCTGTTAATGTTAATTTGCTGTCTGGCACACTAGGAGAAACACTGGCTCTATAATCAGTTGATCAGTAATGCAGGGGGTTTGTGGGACCATGTCCCCTCCTTGGGCACACTGGTGCCCTGGTGCTCATGAAATGCAGGCTAGGTGTGGCAGTAAGACCCCTGTGGTGCCAGTGCTGGTGGCAGGCGCAGCATGTGTTGGATTCATAGGCTCTTAGTGTGATCTGCGCTGCAGTCCCCATCTCTAGAGACACCTAGAGTTGAGTCTAAGGCCCCTGCTCCTTTTAGGGCACACCCAGCACTTGGCCCATGGGTGAATTCCACATGTAGTGACAATGCTCCTCCAGGCCACCACCAGAAAGTGCCATATCTTAGGGCACCCATTTTCACAGATCACCTGCCTCAAGTCAAAACTCCCAGTTGGCCCTACAGGACAAAGCAGAACCCCAGGGATGCTAAGGTTACAAACCCTTATGGAAATGGACTGCTCCTCTTTCTCCCACAGATGGCTAGTGGGTTTGACTCACCAAACTCCCAGTGCTTTAAACACTGCACTTCCAGGGCCCCTCTACCTCTTCTGAAATACGCTGTCAGTGAGTGGGGTTTTGGTTCATACTGACCCTCCATTTGATTTCAGGGGCTAGAGGATTTCAACTACTGAACTTTCAGTTAGTGCAAGACATAAGCACTGTGCCACCAGGGTTTGTGTCCAGTACCTCAAACTCCCTTTATTGTATGGTAAAGGGAG